ATTTTGGAAAGTGGGGCTATCATCTTTTGTGCGCCTTATTTCAATCTCTTGTTTGACCTTCTTTGACTAGGCTTTCAGTTTAATTATAATTCTGAGAAATGATTTTGTTTGTAGATTCTCTTGCAGAGATTCTAGTTTTGTTCTTTTAAGATGCGCCCAGCTCAGAGACTCAGAGGCTCCAGGGCGGGGTCATCATACTTCAGGCCCTGAATTTTAATCTATGGAGTCAGTTCTCATGCTGTAGAGACCACGTGGCATGAGGAAGTACAATATTTACTGCGGAACTAGAAAAGCTTCTATTTTCTTCACGCTGGTTGGTGTCAAGGGCAACAATGTAAGTTTTCAACTTGAAAATACACTTGGCGGTTGGACTTCCTAAGGAATTGCCCTGAGAAATTGGACTCTGATATTCCCTGGACACGTTGCCAATTCACTGTCAAAAGCACCCTCAGATTTGACTGCTCCCTTGGAAGCCTGCGTCGTTGGTGTGGACATGTGGGTGGGAAGTCAGGAGACCCTTGGGAGCTAAAGGAACTGTGCACCTGCAATAGGAAGAGGTGGAGACATAGAAGCTGCTCCCCATATGCCATGGTGGCTGTGCCAGGGCACACCTGTTCACACTGTGGGTTCTGAGGAAGTTCTGGCATTTGGGGTGATGCCCTCTGCCCACAGCACCTCCTTCCAACCCTCTTTGTTCATTGATTTGAAAACAACAGGGGGCAGGAAGCCAAGATCCTGGAAGTGCCCAGCCACTGGCTGCGGTCCAGCCAAGTGGGTGGTATGTCCACTTCCTAGGAGAGAGTGGGATCAAGGAGACCTCAGGGCCCTTCCCCAGAAGTGAGTGTATATGCAAATCAGAGGGGCGGAGGATGAGTCATTTGCCTGCCTTTTATCTCATCTATAGGTGCATATAGATTGAATGCGCTTGTTCCTCTTCTAATTTGAGGCTGACCCCAGTAAAGTTTGGACCCCCCAGGAACTGCCTCATGCCTCAGGTTGCACTTTGTGCCTAAAAGGTAACAGGTGTAAACCTAACTTGCCAAGAGTGTCGATGGGGTGAGGTAGCTCTGAAATCAGCAGAGGTGGCTGTGGGTGACCCTGAAATGAGTAAACAAAGGGACCCTATTTTCTGGGCCATGCCAGTCTACCGACCATCCCCTCAGAGAAGAACTGACAAATGGCTCTTGCTTGGGAATGGTGGGCCCAGAAGAAAAATTGTCACTGAGAAACAGCTAAAGGGATGGGATGTTTATTGGGACTCCACAAGGGGTCCTAAGAGCTCTCTTTCAGTATTGGAAAAAGGAAAAAGATGACTAATACTAACAAAAAGAGTAGCTCACATTTACTGATCAAGAACTTTTCTATGCCAAGCTGTATTTTAAGCACTTTACATATAATTCTCCAATTACTCTATGAGGTGGATACCATATGATCTTCATTCTGTAGGCGAGAAAATAGCAAAGGGATTATGAATTGTGAGGTTCCTTAGAAGCTAATGTAAGGGAAATGGAACTTGTTACCCTGAAACAGGTTCAGTAGAAGGAAGCTTTCTGACATAGTTCTCTAAAGGACGGTGGAGGGAAGAAAAATAACACACCGAACATCTATCATGTACTTAGTAGTGTTCCATGTATTATTTCAGTTGATCCTCAAAACAGCTGTGTAAGACAGGAATTAGTATCCCCATTTCACAGAAGAGAAAAACGAGACTCAGAAACGCTACATAAACAACCTGACACCTTTCCACCAGCAAACGGAGCACTCAGATTTGAACATAGGTATCTTTGGCTCTTGTGTCAATTCTCCTTATTGCTTAGTATGAAGGCTGTAAGGCACACTGGTGGCTCCCACACAGGTACCAGGCTAGTTACCTTTTTCTTGAAAAAATAAAGTAGAAAGTATTAAAAACAGAAAACAACTTTAAACTGGGTCAAAGGGAAGATCAGGTGATAAGGTATTACGTTTTAACCTATTTTTGCCGTAATTGACTTTCCAGGGCTCTCTGAGTGATAGCAAGGCTATTCACATCCCTCAACTATGGTCAGAGGAGATTCCCCAGAGGCTTAGTCCATGTGGGACCCTCCAAATAGATTCTGAGTTCCCACTGTCATCCATAGCCTTCTGCAAACTGGATGTCACGTTTTAAACTCTGGCACAATTCCTTCTTCCGGATTTGGATTTTATTATGTACAATCCTTGGATCACACAGGCTGATGTGCTTCTTCCATGTGGTGCCTCACTTAGATGGCTGCTTGTTTTAAGACAATCCTTTAAGACCCCAGACACGTTTCTTTCTGATTTGTTACCCACTGAGCAGCAGCCTTGTTTTCATAGGAGGAGGCAGCCATCCCATTGGTAATAGGTCTACTTTCCCTTTTGTCTGCAAGATCATTGTGGGCAAGGGTCACACCTACCTTGTTCAATGCTGTACTCCTAGAGTGTAGGAGTAGGTTAAAGAACAGAGGCATACCAGCAGAGATCCTTTCCTATAATAGGAAATGTTTAAAAGAGGATTATTAATTTCCTACTGGCATGTTATAAAGAGGTTCTTATGCTAGAGCAGGGGTGGACTATTCATGTTTCTAAACCTTATAATGATTTTAGGTATTTTTATAGACATAGATCCCTAGGCCCACCTCAGCATCTCAGATTCAGACTCGACACGCTGAGAGCCTCAGGATCGGCATTTTGCATCACTCCCTGACTGATTCTGCCAGACAGCCAGGTATGGAAGCCCTAACCTGACGTGTCTGAGGTCAAGTCTGTGATGCTGGAGTTCTCTGACTTCACACGGTCTGTTCCTGGGGGTCTTGTACAACACTCCTTCTTCCTGCTACGTAAGCCCAAGCCTGGAGCACAAGGGCAGAGGGCTGGGCCCAAGTCAGACATGGGGCCTTATCAGCTAGATATTTACTGAACAAAGTTCAGTCAAGCCAGTGGTACAGATGCAGAATTAACAGATACCCAAGCTTCCGGGCCTTTGATTCCAAGCCTTGGTCCCCAAAGGCTCTTATCGGTAAGTGATAACGGACTCCCCATTTAAGTCCTTAGGGACAGTGCCCATAGGCAGAGGGCTGTCTGGGTGGGCAGGTGGCAGGTTCTGGCTTGCTCTCCCTGGACAAACAGGACCTATATTCTGGTCTCATAGTTGGGTTTGGTTTCCTCCTCTAATTAAAAAGGCAGAAGGAAGCTTCTCACAGTAGGTAGACTAGACACCCCGTGGCCCCAGGACACATGGATCAGCTTTGAGTATTCATCCCATGTCGTGTTTTCCATCCACCACTGCCCAGTCTAAAGGTCCAAAAGAGGTGGCGGGAAGAGGAAGGGCTGGCACATTTTAATAATCATTCAATCAATAAATCAAATGACCCACTGAACTCACTATGGGTGCGCCTTCTGGGAAACTATATAAAGACATAAGATGTATTGTATCATCATTTATAATCTGTTTGGGAGTCTAAGCAATTTACACTAACCAACAATAATATATAATTGATCAAGGAGGGTGGGGGAGGAAGGAGGAAAAGAGGAGCTGATACTAAGGGCTCAAGTAGACAGAAAATGTTTTGGAAATGTTGATGGCAACATGTGGACAAGTATGCTTAATACAATTGAATGATGGATTGTTCTTAGATTTGTAAGAGCCCTCCAATAAAATAATTAATAAGAAAAAGAAAAAAATAAATTTACACTAAAACTGGACAACTAATTATTGCCTGGTATCCCTGGATGACATAAATGTTCAACATGCTCAGCTGCAAGCACAGAGGTTGATGGTTTGAGTCTACCCAGATGCACCTGTGAAGAGAGGCCTGGTGATCTTCAGAACAATCGGGGAAGTGTCAAGTAAAAGCGCTAAGTAGTGCAGCTCTACTTGGATACACAGGAGGTTGCCATGGCTAAGAAACAACTTGTTGAAAACTGGTAATTGTCACGAAGCAGACTATGAAAACAAGGCAAACATTTATTGAATGCTTATTCTGCATCTGATTTTTTGACTCAATATACAATTCATATCTACTATACCAGTGTGTCCCCACAACATTCCTTTGACTAAGAAATTGCAGACAAAGAGGCAGAGAGAAGTTTAGGAACTGACCCAGAACCATGCAGCTGGCCTGAGGCCAGGCCAGGGTTTGAGCAGTGTGTTATCTGACGCTGAGTCCTACTCCTCCCAGCGCCCTCTTAGACCATCTGTGATGAGCACTGAGTAGGTCTGTGTGAGAGGTCAGAGGATGGAATTGATCGCTTGGGCTGAGTGGTCATGCCCTGGGTCTGGAGGGATTTAGCGGGCGGAAAGAGTGAGAGGGAGTTCTGATCGTGGGTAATCCCAAATCCAGATGAGGAGGTGAGTGTGTGTAAGGACTATTTAAAGAAGTGCAGATAGACTTTGAGCTGGTGTCGGGGCTGGCTGCGCACAGGGATTCCTGGATTGATGCAAGTCGCTAACCACTTGGCTAGACTGTTGGGGGTTGAGTACACCCAGCAGGACCTTGGAAGCAAGGCCTGGCCATTGACTTCTGAAAAGCCAGTTCTTGGAAACTCTATGGAGCACACATCTATTCTTGATGCCCCGGGGAGGCGTGTGTGTGTGTGTGTGTGTGTGTGTGTGTGTGTGTGTCCATGAGTTGGAATTGACTCAATGGCCATTGGTGTGTTTGCTTTATTGTGTACATTAGTTAGAAAAATGAGTTAAGACCGCTCTGTGGAGGACCCTCCGTTCTGGCCTAAGGGGCAGGGCTTCATCTTCTGGGTGGAGAAGAGCGAGAGAAGGTTCGGGGTAGGAGGAGTGACAAGAAGGAGGGAAATCATTTCAGAAGTCTGCTCTGCCTCTTCAAGTGGCCCTCCCTACGCAAGCACAGCTGAGTCGGCAGACAGAGCCTGAGTCCCCCACCCCCCCCCACCACCACCATTGCCCAGTTCTAAGCTCTAGAAGAGGTGGAGGGACATTTTAATAATCAACCAATCGATTAGTCAACTGTGAACTTACTGAACTTATTATGGGGGGTGGGTGCTTGTCAGAAGAGAAAGGAGGACCAGTGACGTTGTTTCCCACAGCACCCCCTCCAGAACAAGCTCCGGTCCCACCCCGGCCCTACCAGGGTGTCCGTGTGAAGGAGCCCGTGAAAGAGCTCCTGAGGAGGAAACGCGGGCATGCCAGCAGTGGGGCAGCAGTGACGCCGACCGCGGTGAGGAGGCCGCTGTGGCCTGTGTGTGTGTGTGTGTGTGTGTGTGTGTGTGTGCTCCAACAGTAGCCCAGAAGTGCATAGCGGCTCATTGGAGAGTCACTGGTGGGCATGGAATTCAGCAAGTGGCCCTGGTAATGGCTGCAGAAAGAAGTGGCCTAGAGTAGGCCGAGTGGGTGGCCCTTGATGTGAGAGGAGGGACGTGGCCTGGCTGGCTCGGCCTATTGCACAAAGCTCTTGCCAGGGCCTGAGTGAGTGAATGACTGATGTTTCCTGGGGCCCTCATGGGTGGGTGTCCCAAGAAGAGAAGCACACCAGCGCCCCAGATGAACAGCCTGCCTGCTATATGGAAGCAGACCCCTCAAACAGTAGTTGGTGATGATTGGGGAGTGGTCGTGGGGTGTTTTGTTCTAGTGAAGGAGAAATTCTCACCCTAGGACCACCTGCCCTGGGGCATTCTGGGGGGTGGGCTGCACAGGGCTAGTGGGAGATGGCAGAAGTGATGATCCTGGTCTCTTCCTCCCTCTAGGTGGTGCTGCCCCATCAGCCCCTGGCAACATACACCACAATGGGTAAGAGCTCCCCCAGCCCTGGTCTCCTCCCAGTCCCCCCATCTGGGGTGGCCCCTGCAGCTCTGGAATGTTCTTCTGCCCACAGGTCCTTCCTGCCTTGACATGGAGGTCGCTGCTTCCACAATGACGGAGGAGGGGGCCCTGTGCGCGGGTTGGCTCTCTCAGCCTGCCCCGGCCACCCTCCAGCCTCTGGCCCCATGGGCGCCCTACACCGAGTACGTGTCCCACGAGGCTGTGAGCTGCCCCTACTCAGCGGACATGTATGTGCAGCCTGTGTGTCCCAGCTACACAGTGGTGGGGCCTTCCTCGGTGCTGACCTATGCCTCTCAGCCACTCATCACCAACGTCACGGTATGCCACACTCCGGCAGCGTGGTACCCACCCACGGAGAGGACCCCCTTTCTAACCAGGCTGACCTTCCTGAGCCTGGCCCGACCTATCTTTCTGCTGGTTCCCAGGGTAGTTAGGTCACCCAAGCCCACCCTCTCCTTGAGGGAGGCTGCCTTTCCTTCCACTGAAAATCTCTCCCAGGAAGAGGCTCTGGCCTCCCTTGATACGTCTTAAACTCCTTGGGATTGGGAAATTCTCCCGTCTCTCTGTCTTAACCCCCCTCTGCTGATAATTGGCTGGGATTTCTACTCCCATCAAGAATTACAGACTTGGAAACCCACAGGGGCAGTTCTATCCTGTTCAACAGGCTTGCTTTGCTTCAGAATGCACTTGGTGACAGCAAGCTAAGTTGAATTGATACCAGACTTGGAATGCAAAACTGTTAACTTTTAGCATACATCTGTTGAGATCTGCTTGGGGTCTCTTTCTGGAGGCAGCCTTTCCTTTCTACGCAGCTAATTGAGAGAGCGTCGCTCAGTTAGCCAGGGATGTGAAGTTACCAGAAGATGTTTTGTCTGTGCAGCAGCTGACCAACAGGCTGCATACTTGGTTTGCTGGGCATTGGCTGGGCATAGCTTCTCATGGAGTCAGACTCACATGCAGGGTAATTTTGGAGTCCTACCTCCAGGGCCAAGAGCTCTGCTGATGTGGTGGGTTATACACTCAACTACTAACCATAAGATCAGTGGTTCAAACCCACCAGCTGCTCCACTGGAAAAAGATGAGGCTGTCTACTGCTGTAAAGATTTATATTCTCAGAAACTCAAAATGACATTTCTACTCTGTCCTGTAGGGCTCCACTGAGTCAGAATTCACTCGATGGGGGTCTGTTACTGTTATTATTTTGGTTTGCCTCTAGGGTCAGATCACTTGGGTTCCCATGCCCTGCCTATATACTGACTAGCTGTGTGACCCTGGGGTAATTACTCAGCCTCCCTGAGCTTCAACTCAGCATGTGGTAGAGGCTAGCTGACAGCACTTTGCCAACCAGGGTCCAAGGGATTCTTTTAAGTGCCGGTGAGAATATGAAGATTTGGCTCTATGGGGAGTGAAGGAAAAGAGAGTTTGATGTGGATGGTGCTTGTTTTGACCACAGGAATGGAAATCTGCCAGTGTTCAGAGGAGAAAAGGCTGACTGGTACAGCTGCACTGACCTCTGGTCAAACGAAAAGTGTGGGAGGTAGAACCGGGGTCCCAGGAGGAGTGGCAGAGCCCACCCTCCATAGTGGAGCTGGCTTAGGATCTCCACTTCCCTGGGGGGGTGTGTGTCCAGTGGCACCACGATGGTGCTCCCCTTGTACCCCAACACTCGCACACAATACCTGCTGCAGTCTTCCCACCCCAGGCTCTCTCAATACTCAACACACCAAGTGTGCAGCCCAGTTGATGGAGGCTAGGAAGGAGTTAATGTGACACCTCTCCCAGGTAGCTCATTTGCATATCAGGGAGCTTGGCCTGGGTGGAGGTAGAGGGGTGTGTCTGGGTAGGTGGGTGGGGGTGGGGGTGGGCAGAGGCTGGAAGACAGAATGGTTCCCAACCATTTCATTAGTACGTATTTTATTTCCCATTACTTAACCTTTCATCACCCCCACCCCTGCTTTGAAAGATTGTGTGTATCAAACAAACTATATTTATTAAGAAATAATTTATTTGATCAAAGAAGTCTGGGAGTGCCAAACAGTAGGGCCCAGCAGCAGAAGATAAGATCTGTAGGTGCTGGGCGGATGTCATTCTATCTCCCCAGCAAGGAAATCTTCAGTTTAGTTGTCCTGGTTTTGATTACAAATGGAGGGGTTCCACTTGGCTTTGGTAGAGACCTGCAGCTGTAAGATGTTCCCGGATTCTCTGATTTCAAGACACAGCACTCAGGACCCGTGGGTTTAGTCCACAGGACTTGGTGGGTAGAAGGCACATGGGCCTGGGAGGTAGGGCACAGGCAGGTCTCCAAGACCCCTTCCCGCTGTCCCTGTTGTCAAAGGTGCTGTGTGGAGCCAACTGTGTTCTCGTGTCCGGGAGAGACTGGGGCCCCTTTGTGATGCAGCCACTAGACTATGGGACAGGCTAGTTGTATCACATGCTGACTTTTCATTGAATTATATTTACGTTTGTTTTAGTATCTTTGAAATTGGATCTATTTCATTCAACGTGTCAATGAGAGATGGGAATGCATCCCATCATTCTCTCAGCCCTGTGACGTTAATACTACTTGTATCCCATTTTACAAGGGAGACGGCTGAGGCGCTGGCATAGGGAGCAAGCCTGAGCACGGACTCATAGCTAGTAAGTGGCCGTCACAGCGAGGGCTGCTGCTGTCTGGCTTCTCCCTTGAGGGGACCCTTTGAGAAGGTGCCTGTAGAGTAAAAGATGAGGAAGGGGTTGAGCTAGATCCCTCTGAGCTAGATCCCTCTGAGGATCCCCCAGGGCCGCTAACCTTTGGTCTTGTGCTTCCCCACCACAGACGCGAAGTGCCGCCACACCCACAGTGGGGCCCCAGCTGGAGAGCCCAGAGCACCAAGCTCCCCTCACCTATTTCCCGTGGCCTCAGCCTCTTTCCACGCTGCCCGCCTCCACGCTGCAGTACCAGCCTTCAGCCCCGGCCCTGCCCGGTCCCCAGTTTGTCCAGCTCCCCTTCTCCATTCAAGAGCCAGTGCTCCCAGAAATGGAGGACCCCAGGAGAGCCGCCAACACGCTGACCATCGACAAGCTGCTGTTGGGGGAAGAGGATGCCGATGGCTACCCGCTCAACCATACTCTCTCTGTGGAAGGCTTTTAGGGCCAGCGCCCACCTGGCGTCCTGGTCCCTGAAACTGGGCTTTCAAAGCGAGCCTGGGGCTGCGCCTCAGAGGCATTCCTGCTTGGCGCAACTGTTTCATTACTACACTTTCTAGCAAAAACCCAAAACCCCAAGAATTGTTGACTTGACTTCCTTCCTCTCCCTCCCTCTTTTCTTTCCTACTTTGCTCCCTCCCTCCTTTGCGTTCTCCACCTCTCCTCCCCTCTCCTCACCACCCCTTCCTCTCGCCTCTTTTCTCCTTCCCTGCTTTCCTCCCCTCCTTACTTTGTCCATGCCCAGAGATCCAGAGATTGTAGGGATGTTATTTTAGGCTAAGTGGAGAGATTGTAGGGATGTTATTTTAGGCTAAGTGTTCCCGGATCCCAGGTGCTGAATCCTTCTCAGATCCATCCCAAGCTCCCTGGATCTGAGCACTCCCCTCTGCCTCCTTGGAGCCAGTAGCCGCTGCCTGGGCTGCCATTTGAAGGTGTGTGGCTTGCCCTGAGGGAGGCCCACTGGCCCTTCTAGCATTCTCCAGGGAGATAGTCCCAAGCGCTTCAAGTCCCAAGTCTGGAGCTGTCAGTTCCCACAGTTGCTCCTTTGTCATTCTCACTGTCGGCTGGGTTTGCAGTCTGGCACCGACGCAGAGGAGCTGGGGCAAGGGAAGAGAAGGGGGCTCAGGAGGGGGAACTTTAAATGGGAGCGGGGGTGGGGGTGGGGGTGGGGACAGGGGGGCGGTGTCCTTGACTGGAGAAAGGACAGAGGACAAAGGAGAAAGAAAGGAGGGTTAACGTGCCTGTTGGAGGAAGGGGTCCCTGGGGGAAGGGGAGGATGAGTTTAGCAGGGAGAGGAGGGCTGTGAAAGGGTTTAGCCCCCGCTTATCTTGGTTATTGAAAATGACAATAAACTTATGAAAAATCTCGCCTTGATCTGTGACTTTCTGCTCTTCTTTGGGGATAGTTGCCCCCAGGGATGAATGAGGTGTTTAACTGGGCACTTCCGTGCCCCCTCCAGACCTTCTGCCTAAGGACCACTGGGCCCCTGCTTAAAGCGGTCCGTGAACTTCTTTAGTTTCTGAAAAGCTTCCACGGGCCCTGCATCCAACCACCACACTCCCCGAGCTTCTGAGTGTCCCGGCCAGGACACGTAGGTTTCATTTCCATTTTTATCTGTGTGTGTGTGTGTGTGTGAGAGAGAGAGAGAGAGAGGAGAGAAACACATTTTCAGGGAACCCAGCTCCTGAGAGTGGTTATGGCCTTTGAAGTTAGCACCTTTGCCCACTGAAGACACCACTGTCCCCTACTGGGCAGATCTCTTAGTGGGCGGAGTCGGTGTAGAAGTAACACAGTTTTCTGGGAAATAACAGCTTCCTTGGCATATTTCCTTGGCCATTTTGATCAAAAGCATTTGGATGAGATGGTCTTAAAACACTGTTTTTTCTATGATGGTTTATTTTGATACAGATACCTCAGGATCTGCCTAAAGTCCCAACACGGATGTGTTTATTGCTCCTTCAGCCCGAGAATCTAGAGATGCATTTGAGGTGACAAGTATACATCTCTGTTAGTAACAAGGGTGAGGCCGTGAGAGAGAGTGTGTGTGTGTGTGTGTGTGTGTGTGAAGCCCGTTGGATGAGCCTGGAGCAAGGGTGAG